GAACGAAATATTTTCTAATAAAAGTATTCAAATTAACCGATTTCAATTTTATTTGATCCCTAAATATCGTTTAGTAGTGTTTCAATATTCCCCAATCTGGAGTGAAACATTTTACCCTATAATTAATTTCTAGACTATACAAATTATAAGACAGGTTCTCTGTTCGTTATTATCGTACCTACACGGTTCGCCGTCTAGACTCAACCATTTGCACGTACACCGATATGGTTGGAGTACTAAATCTTGCTATAGATTATTCACCTTACCTCTGACCTCTCCTACAAAAGGCTTCGACGGTCTACCGTAAAAGACAGAGTCATCTCGTTATTTTTTTAAATATTGAATTCACTATCACAATTATATTTATTTTATTATATTGCTAGGATTTATTATATCTTCACGCCTTTTATCCGAAGGGGTAACCCTCGGATCTTGCTACCTCATCTCAAACTTAAAATAACTTTATTCATATAGGTAACTAAGTTTGGGAACCCTTTAGGGCTCCCACACAAAACTGCGAATTCGCATCGCATCGCAAATATCTGCGAATTCGCACGAACGCACCGCAAGAAGTTCCGATCTGCTTCGCATCGCACATTCTTGCGATATTACGTCATCCTTGGTGACGCCATTTTAGACCTCTGAGACAGCTTAAGAGAAAGACGCGCGGCGCCTCCGCCGCCTTCTTTGTTTATAAAAAATTGCGGAATATGATATGGATTTTTTAATATGCTCAATTGAGGAGCGTCCCGTCCTTAGGGACACAAGTGATGAACGTTATAAAAATAAATTTATTAAGCAAGATGCGTGGAAGAGCGTCTGTGAAAGTTTGCATCAGAGTTCATAATCGTAATAAATGGATGAACCCAGAATCTTCTTTTTCTTTTATATCTATTTAACAATAACATCAGTGCAATAATTATCTTTTTGCGATCCATCTTACGCGTCCTAAAAACACGTCCAGTACGACTGACTACGAAGGAATGGTCGCCCTACCAAACGGTTTGTCGCACTAAATCGTATCGCAGAAATTCGCATCGCAATTTTGTGTGGGAGTCCTTAAGTAAAGACATACCTGTGTCAGGGATCTTCCATACCAAACTTAATAGTAAATCCCATAAAAATATATAATTTAATTACATCTTTTTTAATTATATTTTTTCCTTTTAAGGAACAGCCTACTATCATACGGGAGCGCTTTGTGTGCTTTTACAATTACACTTAGGACATACAGGAAGCTGTATATTTATTATGTATTATACTTTTTGATAAGTTTCGACTTATTATTATATTTCCTATATTTAAAAAATACAGTGAATTGCTTAATATAGAGAGATATGGAGTGGAGGAGGCCTTTACTTTATCAGGTCTTTGAAAAATAGTTTTTGTTCTTCTTCTTATAGTGCCATCTCCTTGCGACGGTTGGCATTGTGGCTGGTTTAATTTTGGATGCCGCGTTTCTGAACAATGACTTGGTGATTTGACTAAACCATAGTCTAAGGTTTTTCAACCAAGACGTGCGTCTGTGACCTGACACTTGGCCTTGTTTGTAGTTGAAGGAGCTCGTATTTTATACTCAAGATTTCTTCTTGTAACCGTCATAAGCGCTTCTTTCTATCTTCTGCATTCTGTACATAACGGTTGTAATTCGTATGCGGTCTTGCATCCGCTGTCAGAAAAGTAGTTGCTTGTGTAATAATTTATTGTATTTTTTATTTCAAGAAATAAGGCTTAAATATTATTATTAATTATATTTTTAATTTAACACTTACTTCTGTTGCATGTACATTTCTGTCAAATTGTGATAAACAAGTGCAAACTAATTCTTATAAGTTATTTTGTAAGTTAGGGCACGGCTTCATAAGCTATGGAAACTATCTAAGCAATCAGTTTGTCGTAAATAAGAGTTGGCCGCACGACGTGTCGCAAACTCTTCGTTTCATCCATATATCTTATTAATGAGGTACTCTGATCGGCAACAGGATTAGATTGCTCGGGTGTAACGCTGATAGCGGATGTAAGATCGGGCTTGTAATGTAATTTAGTTAGCCCTTAAAAGTAGAGCGGTCGTGTACGCGAATTATTCAATTAGTGTATCGATGTTTGGGGTATGGATGTGTTTTCGATTTGCGTATTCATGAGAACTGAAGGGGAAATCAGAATCAAGAGTCGTCTAATGTTTTCGATATGAGTCGAGGATTTTATGTATAAACATCCTATACGCAATGAGCTTTCGTACTTAGGTTAGGTTCTCTCCTATATTCAAAAGCTTTTATTTAATAATTGACAGTAACTATAATAATAGACAATGGCCCACATGGTTCCTTTTAAGTGAATACAATATCTGGTTTATTTATATAGAAAGTCACATGAAGAATATACATAACACATAGCTTTATGTGTTATCAAAACCAAACTTTTTATTACACCTAAAGCTGTTAGTAGTATGAGTGCGGGGAAAAAGAAATGTATGAAAAAATTAATAAAATTAATTAATTAACGTCATAATTCGAGTAAAAGACAAATCGAATTTACTACCCGTTTGAGTTCAATACAATGAACACAAGAGAAAGCTGAAACCAGAATCTACAATCAAAATTATATAAATTTATAATACCGATTCCGTATTCTTCTTTGAAGTGTTGTCTTTGGTATATATTTAACGTCGATTAGCAAAGTAAGGCAATCTTACCAAAGGTTGTGTTAGGCCATGATAACTTAAGCTTAGATGCAAAGGATTATTCTGCCTCATACTACGCCTAAACCATCAACTGATCCTTTCGTATTAAGCTTAAGCTTCGGTTGCAAATTCCTGTTACAATGAGAAATTTGCGCGGTAGTTTTGGCGGTACGCTAATGAATTGTTTGATAATAATCATCTTACAGATATAAAAGGGATATTCTAACAAAATTACTAATTTACAATCGTTTACTCGTGAGCCCTCTGGTGTTGTGTGTCCATGGGCGGCGGTATCTCTTAACTTCAGTGGAGTCTCCTGTATATTTGCCCCATGTTCTATAAAAATATATTGTTCATAGCTACCATAGGTTTCATTGAGTACTAAGCGCTATAGTAAACTCTGCGTTAAATATTAATGTGCTCTAGTAAACAAAACCAGTGGCGGTACAACATTTTAGGTCTGGGCTTCAGATTGCTGTATCTATTTTATGACAATTTTTTTTTCTAGGCAAGTAGGTAATCAGCCTACTAAAGTCTTAGTTATGTAGGTTTCCTCACGATGTTTTCCTTAACTTACGAGCTTGTGTTAAATGTGCTAAAAAAATCGTTGGTGCCGGTGATCGAACCTTTGACCTCAGGGATGGGAGTTGTATGCTGAAGCCACTAGGCTTTGTGGTTAGATGCAAAACTAAGGCTTCCCATTCAAATGTGTATTTGGGACGGACGTATTTTTCATCGATATATTCTCCAAAACTCTTGGTAGGACTACATAGTGTTTTGTTATGTTTATTATATTTCAATGTGTCTAGTGATGATGACAAATACTTTATGTTGGGATATATAAAGTGTTTGTTTGATATATAGATATACGAGTTTATAACGATCCTAAAAACGATTATGATATATATATTTCTTTTTTATATTCGAATACTTCGATAAACACTTTGGCATAGTTACAATAGCATCCAAACCAGCAATTATCTAATTTATCCCACCAGTTAATTGCTGTTAGTGGAAATGAAGATGGCGTCCGATCTGACGTGATTCCATGGCGCAAAATGTGTCCGCAGCCGCCACACGGCAGCCGACAAGCCATTGTTTGCAAATTCAGACACGCTTCGTATCATTCGATGCACAATGCTCATGAAATGATGATGAATTATTACATCTTTAAGTTTTCAATAACGAAATATGAGTTTTGTTTAAGTAAGCAACAGCCGTGTGAATAAAGAAAAACAATTGAATTTGGAATATTTTCGAATAGAGCTTTCGACTCAAGCTTTAACAAGTGCCGTTAAAATATCGTAGTTGCGAATTTAAAACGCCCTTAGCTGCAAATTTTACAGCCCAATTTAATATACCGTCTCGTTTTAAAACAAAGGACGGTGTTTGCTCAGCTTTTTATAACAGTCGAGCGACGTTCATTGCAACCGTGAAAAAGTAGAATTTGCTTGAATAATAAATAGAGGAGTTTCATTGCGAAACTGGGACGCGATATGACAGTTTTTGTCTATCATAATGAGTCTGTATTGACTCTGTTTTTTATAGCTTTGAAGACTGAAACTGTTCTGAATTGAGCCTTTCAATTGTTTTATTAGCTTAAGATAAAACAATAAAACAGTTATTTTAGCCAAAGACCGCGACTTGACTGAATATGATTCAGCTATGTTCATCTAAAGAACTCTTTAACTCTCTGCAGTTAGGCTATGGAAATCATTTCCCGTCCCCATTTGCTTAGCTCCTTCTGTATCTTCCTTTAAATTTCTACTGTACAAACATTACCTGTCCACGTCGTATCCCTAACTTTCGTACTCACTAATTTCTGACGTGAGACTGATCTAAAATTACCGTTATTCATGTGTACTTTTTATTTTTCATGCATCCTTTTTAAGTTTAGTTTTTTTTTTGTTCCTGTTTAGTTTTATCTAATTTAATTGATTTTTTCACAGCCTGGAATAGATCGCTAAGCGATAAGGCCGCCAGTTGCCCTCCTTTACATTTAATTATGTTAAATTTTTATTGTGTTAATGCAACGAAATGTTAATAAAAAAAAAATAAAAAAAATATTTTGGTGATAAATGCATACGATATGGTGATACGGCTACAAAAGGCGTCTTTGCTGTGATATTGTTTTTATTGTTTCGGTGTAAAATTTTAACAATTACATAATGTCTTGAAACAAAATCAGCCACGAATAATGCAGGAGTACAACAAACGGAAAAAGGATATCTAACATCGTAATATCACATTTAGTAGAAAAATAAAGAGAACATGTTTTCTTCAATATCAAACAATAGTTCCAGCTTTGATACAAAAGCTGTCAGGCTGTGTTGAGAATAAGCGCAAGATCTGGCGTCCATTGTCGCTGCAAATCAGCACGGACAATCTTCCAATAGAATATCGGGATCTTATCCGGGATTGAGATCGCATTCCGGAGGATGTCCGGATATCCTTTACGCCCGTTGCGATTATTGACTGCGTGCTCTTTTCTGATCCGCTTCTGATGCTGTTTTGATTGGTGCATTGACATGCTTTATTGATTAATTATATTAATATTTGTCTTGGCTTTCATCATAGGACGAAACCAAAAGATAGAATACTAGAATTCGGCAACGCACTCGCGGGCCTGTTTGCATTGAGAGTGTCAATTGAGTGTCCATGGGTGGCGCGCTATCACTTATATTTTTATATAGAGCAGGGGGCAAACGGGCAGGAGATTTACCTGATGTTACCGCCGCCCATGGACACTCTCAATTTTAGAGGGCTCGTGAATGCGTTGCCGGTCTTTTAAGAATTGGTACTCTTGCCCGTTTGCCCCGTTCTATAAAAAATGAAATAAATATCTATAGAAAAGAAAATTGTTCTTGATGTTGACTGTTTGCCAGATGTAAAGTACCTACTGATAAGCGATAGTAAGCGGCCCGTTGCACACAGTGACTTTATTTTTAAATTTTTCGTATTGCTTTTTTGTATTTGTTATCGCAAAGTTTTACATTTATAAAAAAAGTTCCTATATGTTTATGGAAAACTCAGTTTATCGCTCTGTATACGAGTGATCAGCCCATACAACTAAATCATATATCAGGAATAGTGTTTTGTTAATGATTTTTAACGGTAGTTTTTATAACTGATAGAAAAACGTTGAAATCCTCTGCGTGACAAGGAGCCGTTAACGTTAATTGATTTAACATGTCCAATAACTACCGTCCGTGCCAACAAAAATAGCCAGCCCTGGGCGGGGCTCACAATCAAAACGTCACCATTCATATTGTTTGTGTTGCAGAGTGGCGTAACGAGGAGCGCGGTGTAGACGCGCCTTTGCCGCGGTCTCTTTGACACTTAACGGGGCGTTTGATGCCCTGTTAGTTTATTTTGCTGATGGATTTCGAATTTTAATGAGACGGTGATGGTCCGCTTTTAGCAGTTATCATATACAAATCTAGCCACTTCTAATTTATAAATTATTGCGGCACGCATAGCATAATACAGCTCTTCGTAATTAATTACTCTTGAAGCGATTTTAGGAAGAGTTTTAAGATTCTAAATTTGTCAATAAAATTTACAAAATATTACTTGAAGTTTTAGGAACTCTCAGCAGTCAGAACATCTTTATTTCCAAAGTGAAACTTCTTAGGCGCATGAGGGTAAGTTTTTTACGGGACGTCACGAAGATGTGCAGCGTTTTTGACGTAAATTTAAATTTCGTAAAAAGAATTTATAAAATATTTGTATTTTTTAATTTATACAAAATGCTACGTGTTTTTATCATCGAAGAAATAAATTTAAAAAAATAACTTATTATTTGTATTACTTTTCGACACTTAATATTTTAATGAAAGTTAAATTCCTAACGTATCTTCTTTTTTCCCTAAGTCTCGGAAATCTAAAGTTTTAGATTTGTATAAATATGAACAAGAGTTAAAAATTAGTTTTCCAAAGAATTTTCACTTCTGACATGTGTACTTTGTACGCACGCACTTTTTTATATTTTTTTTCACGTTTGTAAATAATTTTTAAAAATAGTGTTAATTATGTAATTTTTAAGTGCCGACAGCAGTAGGTTTATTTCATAGAATAGGGAGCAAACGGGCAGGGGGCTCATCTTATGTTAAGTGAAACCGCCGTCCATGTACACTCTCAATGCCAGGGGTCGCGAGTGCGTTGCCGGTCTTTTAATAATTGGTACGCTCCTTTAACATTAATTTTGTTAGTGATAACTTCATACTGTATTATGGAATGACTATAATCCTTTTTTAGAAAGCTAATTAGCATAAATTTCTCAACACGAAGCCGAGGGTAATAAATAAATCATCTGATGTCTCATAATCGCGTCTGCAGTAGAAGTTGGACGGCGAGCCTCGCGGAAATTAGCGACTGCGCGACGAGATAGCGATACATTGGACGCCGAAAGTTGTAAGCGCAAGCGGCTGACAATCTGCCAGATTCTATAAGGAGGGGGGTGTAACAGAGGGGGGTCGATTTTTTTGGTGATTACGTTAACAGTCATTATTTATCCACACATTGTCTATGCTTGAAAACGAAATGCATTTTCGAGGATTGCTACAATAAATGAATACGTTTATGTACTATTATTTTTGAGAGCTTTGCTTACTTTCGCTGACACGAGGAGGAGGGTGGGGGGGGTTAAATTGCAGTAGGAGAAGTGTTGGCTCTCTGCCTCTCTTGAGGACATAGGTTCGAACACCGGCTGTGTTCCTATGGACCTTTACGTCTATGTTCGAATTTAACACTCGTTCACTCTTATGGTGAAATGAAACATCGTGAGGAAATTCATGATATGCCACGGACCCAGAAGTCAACAGCGCGTGTCTCGCACCTATTTGCCTATTAGAAAAACAAATGATCACGGCACAGATTCAGATTTGAGGCCAAAATTAAGGATTGCGCCTTGTGAATAATAGAATTTATGAATAGTGCAAATCATATTAGTCTATAAAAATACAAGTATTAAATGTTATTGCATACATTAGCAATAACTCGTGTGTGAATATTAGGGGTGAATTGTAAATAAAATTCTTTAGATATAATAAACGAATTTATTACATATTGTATATTATGTACTTACGTTTCGAGTGATATACAGTAAGTAGTGGTAGTACTACATGTACTATAATGAAATAAAGTCATATTAAACAAGATTATCGTAAACTATTTAAGCACCGTTATATTTTCGGAGTTAAAATATACCAACATATAACTTGTTGCATTTATAGAGTAGTATAACTTTTATAAAAGCCATACCTAAGCGAAGTTGGCTCATTGGACAAGTGTTTATGTTTTCAAATACTAAAAACATAGTCCTCTTATTAATATTATTATTTAATATGTTATAACAATGCGCCAAAGTCTGCAACTTGCACTATCAACTTTGAGTCAAGTCGCGTGGCTGCGCATCTTCCCCGCTAATTATAAGCATTTGCCTACAAAACGTGAGAATCATCAAAAAGCTCTTCACATTTTTCAAAGCTTATCGGTCACCTGAATATTAAAGTGGTTAACTTTAAATATTAAATACAAAATTAGCAGTTACTTCCAATCATAGCGTTCGGCCTACTGACTGCTCATCTGGTCTTATTTAGAATTAAAATCCTACAGATACTTACGAGTATATTCAAAAAATTACACTATACACAAGCCAAAAACGGAATACACATTTAAACACACACAAAGCACACCTATACAAATACAAAAAAAAATATAAAGAATATATGAAGTTATATAAATTCTAAATTCTAAGATTCATAGTTCATAAGAAATAACAAAGCCATTCTATCTGATAAAGGATACTTGAGTTTTTATATAATTTCTTAAGCATTTTCTAGATACATTAAATATATCTATTTGCTGGTAATTTCTGTTATAATATTCTGAAGGTATACGATACATGACTGAGTTACGTAAATAGTTAGTGTTAGACCGAGGAATTTTAAATAGTTGGGTTTGCCTCGTATTGTGTGAAGAAGGGGCGTGAAAAAGTAAAAGCGACAATAAGTCAGGAAAGTCAATTAAACCGTTGCAAATAGCGTGTTAAAACATAAGGTCGTATTGTTTACGTCGACATTCTAATGATTCAATAGCAAAGTACTTGCAGGAATCTATATAGCTACTATACTTTCGGAAAAGCTTTATTGAACAATTTACGTTTAACGACAGTTTTGAATTTATTCCGTGATAATTCTCTAATTTCGCTTGGCAGTTTGTTGTAAAAACTAATATAATTTCTATATAAGGAGTGGTTTATCTTCTGGAGCCTGGTTTGTCGTACGTCGCACGCTGAAGTCACTAGGCCAACATTGCTCTACTCGAATATAATTGGTTCGCCCCAAATTAATAAACCTCTATGTAATATCATTAAAATAAATTGAATGGAAGGCGGTTTCTTAATCAGCGTTAGGTTCGTGCAATATGTACCATTTGCCAGTTATCACTTCCTGCTATTACCGTTGGAGTACCAAAAATAATTTATAGTAAATGTGGTAACAGCTCGCGGCTTAACCAGTGCAAGCTAAATCTTCGATTTAAAGTGCCTTTTAACATATTGGAGGTTTAATGATGCTAAAAATGCTTCGACGATATTTTACTATTCAGTTAGTTGGGACCATGTTTGATTTAGACTCTTGAATTGAATATATATTAATACCTCCCTTAGAGCAGTTTTGGTCTTGTGGATTGGACGGTCTCTCAACCCCTCGAATCATTGCCAATACATTTTTCCTACTACACAATTCACAATTGCTGGTAAAAAATATCGTAAGGAAACCGGCATGCTAGTGACCCAAAAATTGACGGCATGTGTCAGGCACAGATGCCTGTCGTACTTAGCTATTAGAAAAAGCTATAATCATGAAATAAATACAGAAATCTAATCTACAAGTAGCGCTACTGGTTTTCTTTTTCAACTTCTTCCCGACTTCGTTATTCTACTTTTATATGGTTTGGCTTGGCTCTCTTAAACAGGCTACATAGCCATTTTAATGGCAATCAAACTTCTTGACATAACAGGAATAAAATGCCTAAAGATCTAAAACCTTTTGAGGTACTAAAACTAGTGTAGTGAATATAAGTGCAAATGCGGTATCTCGGACGCGCGAACATAGTGTCAAAACATTATAGAAAACTAAGACTGTAAATGAATATTACCTTAGTTAAGCTATTCATTAGTATAGTAGAAAATTAAGTCAACATAATATTACTTATTAGCCGAAATTATTGTATAGGCTAGATTGTAATTCGTGTAAAGTCGCACTCTATTTTGTGAACTTTATTGTAGGAATAAAAAATGTTTTGAATCCGTAACACTCTAGTAAAGGGGAATCATTCGTCTTAGCTTTTCTATATATGTTAAGATTAATTACTGACTCTGAGTTGTGATTTTCTCCTATTGTGACAGTAGTAATCAGTTGTATATATATTATTGCCGGCTGAGTGCGCGATTTAATCGTTACTTTACCGTTCCTCATTGTATCGCGAATGGCAGCTGCATTACGGTCCTGTGCCACGCGAGATACA